ATGGTAATGGAAAGGGCTGTTGATTAATCTCCTGAGACTTTAGGGTATAACTAATTCGGTTTTGGGGTCCTCGAAAACACACCATTTCCCAAAAGGAGCAGAAGGTGTTTTGTCCCCTCACTGTAGAATACCTCGGGGGGACCTGAAGTCCCAGAGCAGGAGCCAGTGCCCAGAAGAGGGTGATGAGCACAAACAAGAGGAGACAGTGGCAGAGCCCAAGAAGGAACTGACCACAGAAGCAACCCAGTGGGTGCTCTCAGTTGAAACACCAGATACATCCGTATGTATAAAATGAAGATTTCTGAGGTCTCCAGGTATAAGAACTTTCAATGACTTTATCTCTTTTCCATCTCGTGGTCGTTTTGCCAGGTAGATGCCATTGTTACCAATCTCAGTTCATAGTTTAGAAACTGAGATCCAGAGAGGTTGCTGAGCTCCCCCAAGACCATGGAACCCCCATGGTGTTGAAGCTTGTGATTCTCTGAGCGAATCTTAAGTCTGGAGCAGGCTTGTGGAGAGGACACCATGAAACACCTGCTAGAAATGTGGCTCTTACGCCGCTTGCGAATATGCAATCTCAGATGCCACAAGTGAAAAGCTAAGGACTCTTTTTTTTTTTTTTCATTTTTAAAAATTGAGGTGCGTTTTCATCAGCTTTTTTTTTTTTTCTGCTGTGACTAAAAGACCTGACCAGAACAATTGTAATGGTGCAAAAGTTTATATAGGGTCTCATGATTTCAGAGGTCTCAGTCCATAGACAGCAGTCTCCATTCCTTGGGGCTTGAGGTGAGGCAGGACATCATGGCAGAGACCAGCTCACACATAGAAGCAGAGAAAGAGAGGTGTCCACTTGCGATGCAAATATAGACCCCAAAGCCACGCCCCCAATTCTCACCTCCTCCAGCCACACCCCGTCTGCCTTCAGTTACCACATAATCAATCCCATCAGGAGATTAATTCACTGATTGGGTTAAGGCTCTTGAGAGCCAATTATTTCTCCTCTGAACCTTCTTGCGGTGTCTCACACATGAGATTTGGGGGGACACCTCATAACAAGGTGTAAGTTCATAAAGGTCCCATTTCCAGCCCAACCTCTTTCAGGGTAACTGCTGATCAAGATTCTAGCTCAGAGGCTAATTTCAAGATTTTTTTTTCCTCTCTCTCTTTCTCTCTCTCTCTCGTCATTTAAAATATCAAACAACTCAACAAATGATGTTTTTTTCATAAGACTCACTTATCTTTGTAATAAACTGAGCAACACAGCACCCTCTACCTCAGATTATTCCCACATCTGGAATGAACTTTCGCCAGGTAGCCATGTGCCTTATCCACCTCCGTCAAGTTTTGTTTGAATTCCTTCTTTTCAACCAGGTCTGGCTTGAACAGACCATTCAAAGTTGCAATCCCAGCCCTGGTGGTCCACGCTTACTTCTCAGCATTTCCCACTATCTGATGCTGTGGGTGTGGTTTGCCTCCTCTGAAGCTCATGTTGGAGTTTAATCACCAGAGGATAGAAATGATCCAGATGCAGTGGCCTACTCCTGTAATCCCAGCTACTCAGGAGGCTGAGATGGAGGCCAGCCTCAGCAACTTAGTGATACCATGTATCAAAATAAAAACTGAAAAGGGCTGGAGATGTAGCTCAGTGGTAGAGTGTCCCTGGGTTTAATCTCAGTATTGGAAGATAAAGAAAAGATAGAAGCTTATTCTGATTTTGGTATTTAGAGGTAGGCATTTGGGAGGTGATTAGGGTCAGATCAGGACATCAGGGTGGAACCCCGCCCCCCTGCCCCCGGTTGAATGAATGAATAAGAAGAGAAAGGAGACTTGCACACATATATGACCTCTCCATGTCTTGCCATGTGATGCCCTGCATCACCTTGGGACTCTTCCAGCAAGGTCATCACCAGGTGCAGCCCCTTGACTTTGGACCAGAACTGTGAGCTGAAACAAACCTCTTTTCATTATAACTTACCCAGGATTTGGGTCTGTGTTACAGAAACAGAAAACTCTCAAATACACTGAATCCAGTTTTCCTTATTTGTTTCTTCTCATCTCTGCCCAGTAGAAATGAGCTTTCCCAGAGAGGATTGTTGTAGTCCTCAGTTCATTGTTTATCACCGTCCCACACCCCCACAATAGTATTTGCTGCTTAGTATCTCCTCCGTTAATATTTGTTTAAGAAGTGAACATCCGGTAGACCCACTAAAACACTTGAGCAAATGAGACCTGAAACTTAAACACTCACTTCTAATTCAGAATGTTAAAAATAACTGCATCCATCCATTCTATTGGGAATTACAAACTCATTCTTCAACAGGTCGCCATAACTTTTAATTGTGAACAGAGAAACTCGAAAATCTTTGGAATCAAAAGGAACCCTGGCTCTGCCAATCCCTAATTATATGAACGTGGGCACATTAGTTTACTTTCTCGGGCCTTAGTTTCTTCTCAGTTGAAAAATGAGAATAGTCACATCTGTTTCATAGGACAGCTGTGA